TGATAATTATGATCACGACGACAGTTTTTCAAGACAAAACCAAACACACCAACAACAACACAACCACCGAAAATGATGAAAAAGGGCATACCGAGAGAATTTATTGACATTGCAACCAATACAGATACAATCGCCACAAAAACCAGAGAGACTCAAGAAAAGTTATACAATGATGCAAATCAGCAATTAAATATGACATTCGAAGCGTTTAAGGTAAAGGAAAACCAAGAAAATATGTTTAAAATAATGCTTAAAAACTTTTGGCACAACACATACAAAAGACATGAGCCAACAAGAGCGCAAGCAACACAAACCCTGAAAAACCAACGCGATGCAATGGTGTCAGCCTTTACTAAAATGCTCGACAACAACAAACCACCAGAACCACCGCCAAAGAACCCACCAGACGAGGAGGACAGCGACGAAGAAGAAAAAAGATTCAAACTGACAAAAATGATGGAAAAAATAATGCTACACAACGGCGCTACAGTAGCAGATATAATATTAAACTTATCACATAGCGCAATTGCAACAACAATAAATATCGCAGATTTAGTTAATCAAATAACAGCAGGAAATGCACAAGGTAGCAGTAGCAATTCATCAAATGAAGCTATTAGTGTTCATAGTTCTCCACCTATTACTGTTCATAGTTCTTCATCTGAAAGTCCAACAGAAATACCAGCACCAACTGAAGACGAAGAAGAAGACGGAGAAGAAAAACAAAAATATAATTTTGAAAAATTAAAATCTAAATAATATTATATATAATGGGTTCAAGTAAATCAAAACCAGTAGAAATTGATGATGAAGAGGCTATTAAAGTAATAAAAGATATAGATGTAAATACGATAAGTGAAATGTCAAGAATTGATATTCTACAAATAAATTCATTGAAAGCAATAATAAATAAATTAGAAAAAGTTAATGAATGTAAAAAAGATAAAACATATTATAAATTTCCTGCCTTAAATTTATGTAGCTATTCTTTATTCTAAATTGATAATATTAACATACATTAATATTATTAATTACTATCATAATCTGTCATTTCACTTTCGGGTAATTTTGTTGAGGCGTTGCTACACATATCATCTATTAAATCTTCTTCATCAACAAAATTATTTTGAAATCTTAATAATTCCTCGTCTGTTGGTCGTCTTTTTAACACTTTATAAAGTTTATGTATCCAAGAATTAGTATGAAAATTGTAATTACCTCTACGATAAAATCCACCACATCTACATAGTTTCATTGGCATATTATTATATTATATTAAATTAGAATATCTTTATTCATCATTTGTAATTTGAAATGCCTGTTCAAAACGGAGAAAAAACATGTCATTCACATTGGTAGCATTCATATTCACGTAGAAGAAACTATAAGGTGCGTCATTCACTGCTTGATGATACATATCTAATAATTGCTGTTTGTCAACAATGGCGCTACTTTCTTCAATAAAACTCATTAATTCACTGGCATTTTTCAACCTAAAAATATATAATGAACTGGCATTTAAACGAATGATAGGCGCCAACACATTATATTTCTGTGTTGAACAAATTACGCTTACTGCATCGTGCCTACCTCTTGTAAATAATCCATGTAATAATTTACTATATCTAACAAATTTAGGATCGTCGGCATGATCGTCTATAACGATTAATATTGAATGTAGTTTCTTTATCTTTTTAGATTTCATATAATTAATTATTTTCTTCTGTCTTTCAATTACATTTTCTAAATCACTTGGATTATAATTATCAAAATAAATTTGTTCTTTTTCATCATCCACGTGCAATTCATCCCTGATATATTTTTTAACTTCTGTAAAGGTTGGGTCATTATGAACGCTGGGGGAAAATATAAATATTCTTGCAAATGAATTTCTATAAACATTTAAGATAAGGTTCTGAACCAAGACTGTCTTGCCACCTGTCGAACTCGCAACTATAATACTTCTAAATGGTAATTTTGTCACGTGCTCATATTTAGATTGTTTGAATTCATATTCAGTTATGTTTATTGGCTTTATTATTGGAACATCTGACATAATAAAATAATATTAAAGTTATTTAGAAAATGTTTTATATTTATTATTTTTTATGAATAGAAGCTATTCAGATTATATTGATATAATAGATGAAGTAGAGAATTTAGAACAAGTTGTTATAACTGATAATAGATGCAAGAAAATATGCTATTTTGTTTTAGAAATAATTAAGTTTGTGATACAATATATCAAAAATAAAAATGTAAATATTATCATAAATGGGAAGAAAGAAAAAGAATAAGACTGAACCAGTTGTTTCTTCATCAGTTGAAGAAAAAGAAGAAGTTGTTAAAGAAACATCAGTTATTGAGTTTGCTTGTCCAATGTGTAAAAAGATGTTAGAAATGAAAAATGAATTAGAAATTCAAAAGAAAGGAAATTGTAAATGTTCGTGTATTCCGACAAGTTTCAAACTAAGTAAGAATGATAAGAAAATGAATATTGATAAAACTAAAGACAGTATCAACTTAGAAACAGATGTTCATAATATTGCTATACGCTTTGGGAGGGGAGTTACTCCATCCGATAATGGCGATAAGGAAACTCAGGAAACTATACGCGAAATGATGAAAAAATATTAGTTAAAATTATTTCTATTATTATTTATAATGCAAGATGTTATAAATAATATTCTTAAATTCATTGATGTAAAAGAATTGAAATTAAATAATTTTATTGAAGAATATAACGAAAATGATATATTAATTAATTTTGTTAATGACTTTAGAAATAGTAAAATTGATTTTAACATGTTTTATAATTCTATTAATTATGCTGATTTATTTGAACAATCAGATTTAAAATTTTATTGTAAAAGAATATATTCATATACTTTAAGATTTATTGCTAATTATGATAATAAAAATGCTATTCAGTTTTATGAAATTACATTGAGAAAAATGAATAATATTTACAAAAATAGTAACATTAATGTTGTTAATGTGTTTGAATGTATTAAATGTTTAATAATTTATATTACAGATAATATTGAAAAGTTTCATAAATATTCAAAATTTAGAAAAACTATTATTTGTAATTTAATTGGTAAATTGAATAATAATTTAACGAGTTACACAATAACTAATTTTGAATTGACTTATAATGATATATGATTTTGTAAAATAAAAGTTTAGTTTTAAAAGTTTTATTTTATAATATAATATATATATTTACATGGATGAAGGATTAGAAAAGATTGTTAAAAAACTGAACAAGGTTTTAGAACAGAATAAGAATATTTTAGAAATCTTGCAAGAAATGGAAAAGAAGAAACCTTTAACAAACAGTTATCAAAGTAAAGAAGTAGATAGAACCAATGGTGAATATAAAAATAAAAGAAATATTTATTTAAACAAACTTAATAACAAAGAAATTAAAGAACCGAAGGCTTCAACTATGACATTTTATCAAATTGACTATGATGAAGATACGGGGGTTTATTCATAGATAATAATCCAACGACAAAACAGCATGTTTTTCTTGAAATTAGGTGGGGTTCCCCCTTTTTTGGGGCGACAGTTTATTTATATTATGTTATTATAATATAAATTAACATTGTAAAACTTTATAACCTTTCATTATACCATAGTTATACTCTATAAAATTTGTTTTTGTGTTTCTTTTTTAATGAATGAACATAACCTTGCCCATAATATTTCTACAAAATTTATGATAAACATATTGTAAGATAATTTATCATATTTTTTGGAATAATATTTTTGAAAATTTATTTTTTAAAAAGATATTTTTTGGAAAATTACTTTTTTTTTGAAAATATTATTTTTTGAAAATATTTTTTTTGAAAATATTATTTTTTTGAAAATATTTTTTTGAGAAATATTTTTTTTTGAGAAATATTTTTTTTTGAGAAATATTTTGTTTGAGAAATATTATTTTTGATTTTTTTTTATGAATGAGCTTAACCTTGCCCATGCATCCTACCATCAATAACCATATCATATGAACCACCCTATACTTCTATTTCCCCACAAGCATCCTAACAATGACAAGAATGATGGAATAGAAAATGAGAAAATGTGACTTTTTTGATGGATTTTGAGGTTGAGACTGTTATGAAATGTTTTGAGTGGAAATATGCATAATGAATAAGGATGACGATTTGAATAGTGAAAAAATGGTTGGAAAGTGCTGTTCTTGCGTAGGGGGGGGGCTACGCTAGGATACCATAAAAAGATGGGCAAGGCCCACCCTAACTAACGCACCCTTTGCTGCATCATCACTTCTTCGATCACCATGGGGGCGGGGGGGGTGCCGCCCGCCCACCTCCCCTTCGCTGATTTTCGGAATGTTTACAGAGATTAACGCACTCTTTGCTGAAGCATCACGTCTTCGATCATCATCACCCTTTGTTGAATCATCAATCCTTCGAACATCATGGGGGGGGGCTATGTGTACCGCGGCCTGCGAAAGTCCTGCACCTGAAACAAAATCTGTACCGTACCTTGCGCAAGCACTGCGCCTGCCACGAAATCTGTACCTGACCTTGCGAAAGTGCTGCGCCTGCTGCGAAATCTGTACCGTACTTTGAGAAAGTGCTGCGCCTGCCGCGATGCGAAAGTGCTGCACCTGCCACGAACCCTGTACCTGACCTTGCGAAAGTGCTGCGCCTGCCGTGAAATCTGTACCTGACCTTGCGAAAGTGTTGCGCCTACCGCGAAATCTGCACCGTACCTTGCGAAAGTGCTGCGCCTGCCGCGAAATCTGCACGACATCTGCACCTGACCTTGAGAAAGTGCCGTGCCCGCCACAAAGCCTGTACCTGACCTTGCGGCAGTGTTGCGCGTGCCACGACATTGCCTAACAAGTGTTTTTTGATCCTTCACCCAGGGAACAGCGCATGAGTCTGTATGCCACGGGATTCCGTGTACATGAACCTAACCCAAGTTGGATTTGCGGCCACCTTCAGGATTCCCCACCCTGCGAGGCGACGACTTCTGACACGCGCACAATGTTGGGCGAGATCGGGAAGATTCAGCAGGCTTTGCACCTGGATTTCGCCCCGGGCTCAATCTTGGGGGCCGAATCCGGGGGATAGGCATCAAACCTGCAAGGGGAACGACACGTTCGCAAGGAGCGTGGATTTGTGGGCCGGCGGGAGTCAACCCTTGTTTGATGAGTATGAGCACCAATCCGATCAGGTGTTCAATGATCCAGTCACTTGGCTGGCCACTTGCTTACAGCAGTAAAGATTGCTGGTAGATGCATTTAATTTGAGTGCTTGTGGCAATGTTGCATGCTCAGCCCTCGACTGAGATACAGATGGCAGAGTATGTCCGAGAGGCTGGGAAGGGGCTTCTTGAAGAAGTGCGATGGTTCCCAGCCATTCTGCTTGTTGTGTACGCGCCTTGGGCCCCGGATGGCCGACACAGGCCGATCATTCACGTTCATTGAGCAGGGAGGTTCCTTAGTGTTGTGCGGATCTCTCCAGAACAGGCTTCTTTTGGAGAGGAACTCGGCCCAAACCAGCATTTTCGTTTCAATTTGAAGCACCAGAGAGATCACCCCAAGCACAGCCCCAACGTGTCAATTCATGACATCTCATGACCTCTTGGGCCCGTCGCCAGGTTTCGATTTTAGGTTCAGGCATGTCCTCACGTCGCCTTTGCGGAAATCGAGATTGGACAAGCGGATCGCAAGTGAGCGAATTTGAGGTCCGGGCTCCTTGTGCCTTGTAGGAGTCCCAGAAGCGGCCCAGCGTGGTGGCCGTGGAGGCTGTGGAGGCCCTGGCAAGCGGGTGTTGAGAATCAGTTGGGTTGTACATAGCTTATATAAAGTTCTTAAAAGCTATGGACGGCCTACTAACTCGGCCAAACACCCGGGCAATATACAGTTGGGTGAAAGATGGCACAATTCCAATTCAATTTGGCTTGATCCCCTTTACACACAAGAGAGTTGTGCTGTTTACTTTGATCGCGTAAATGCAGGGCCACTGCTACATGTAGTGTTGAATCGCACCCTTCAACCATGTCCTTCATGACCAGTTGGGGTTTGAACCGGTTTGAGCTTGCTGAATCCAGGACGGGCAGCAAGCGAGAGGGGCTGGATTACGATCGCTTATGATAGAGCTATCAATGCTGTTGTGTCCATTATGACTCTATCAACGATTGTTGCTGTGCATGGAGGGCGGAAGCGGGTTGGGCTGCGGCCTTGTCACTCAGGGTGGTTTGCCCTCATTTGCTCGCCCAAGAACCATTGTCGGGTCAAGACATGGAAGCAACGCCCCGTGTGCCTAGCCTGACAAACTTGACATGGTACCTGCTGTTCTTAGTAATGGGACACCCAGGTTGAACCCATGGCTCGCCTTGTCAGACCCGTTTACAATTGATGAGTAGTTTCTGATTGCGTGCAGGTGGACCCGCCCGAGCTGGAGGTGGAGCCTATTTCCAAGGACGGCAGGCTGCTGTTTCGTTATGGCCCGGGGGTTGTGCTTTGCAGTCAGGGTAGGGTGTTCCCAAAAGGGTAGCCCCATTCTTACGAGGTCCTTGGGGTAAGCCAGGTCTTTGTCGTCATGACGTTTTTATTATTGTTATTATTATTATTATTTTGTCTGGATCTGTTTGCTTCGCTCGCAAGCTGCGCGACAAGCAGTAGTCACGATCGAAAGGCCGGAAACCTTCAGACCCACGGCCATGCAAAGTCGTTTGCTGTCCTCCGGCTGCGCAAGGAGCTTCATGTTTCCGGAGCCAAGAGCCTCGGTGTTGTGGACTTTCTGGACAAGGACTGGCAAGACGGAGTTAGTTGCGCCGAGCCCGTGGCGTCGAGGTTCCAGCTCAGCAGCTCAGCGGGCCCCAAGGGTCAGGGCACAAGCGGATCATGAATGTGATTGACCTCAACTTGTTTCGTTGCTCTTGCGGTTCTCGATCCATTTCTCTTTTGTGCGCAGGGCCAACTCACTTTCTCACCATCCTTTGGTTGCTACGCCAGGAACCGCCCAAGTTGGACCGCATTGCGTCCACCCCCGCCCCGCCGGAGAAGGCCCAGCGGGACTTTGCACGGTTGGCTCGTGTTGGCTCTGCAGGCCCACCGCTTATTTGGTGTCAGGATCTTGCATGCCACCCTCAAATCCCAAGAGTTGGCTGCAATGGGTGGCACGAAAGGGGAGACATTACTAGATGAGCAACATGTTGAGATAGTTGCCACCAGAAACGGATTTGTTTGGAGCCCTAGCATTTCTGTTTTTTGTGCTCCTCAAACTGGGCCCGGGGCCCAGGATGGCACACGCAGTGTGCCGAATGAAGTGGTGTCCTACAAGCGGGGTCCCATGCCTTAGCGTCGGGGTGCAGGCGGTGGCACGTGACAAGCAGGGGAAAGGATGGCAGAACGCGCTTCGGAGCCTCTACTTGGAAGGGTTCAGAGCCACAAGCTTCTCTGAAACAAGCCGTTGTGGAGAGCTGTTTCTCGCGTGTGCGTGTGGAGCCCGTGGCGGAGGTTTGTTGCCATTGTGGCCAAGACAAATCACTAGATGCTGGCCGGTTGCGCGTTCATGTTTGATGGTCCGGCTCTCCAATTAGGCAGCCTGCATCCTTCCATGCACCTGGGTGGAGTGGGTGGAGATGCCGTGCCTCGGTCGGAATATGGGAGCAGATTCTGATGGTCGGACTCGGATACTGCACACACCGTAGGCTCCGTATGTCTTGTTTTGAAGGGGGATAGTGCTATACTTGAGGTTCTTATGAGTATTGGCTTTCGTGTTGTGAAGGGTTCGCTTGACTTGCTCCCTGTAGCTGTTTTGTGTTTGTTTCCTTTGGCATCAAGCAGCTTCCATGGTGGAGGTGTGCCGGCTCCCACCCTCTGCCAAGTATTGGATGATTGTTTTGCTCACAGGCTAGGTGCTGTAGCCAGCGCCTTTCCGGTCTTGTGATTCAGGTCACTTCCCCAGATAATTGGCTAATATGCCTGCCATGTGGTCACGTAGAAAGTGTAAGTTGACCTTCTCTTGCCACTTGTGCAAGATACCTGTAGCCGCCACAGGACACAGGACACGCTGATGTTCAACATTAGACAGGGAACCTTTAGGCATACATGGCGCGCCTTTGTTGGCTGCCAGCGTCCGTGCAAGGCCGGCCGGGCAAAGCCAAAGCGGGTACGCGAATTCTGGAGTCAAACTGAGCCACCTCCACTGGAATCGCCTCTCGGCTGTGTTTTGGGAACGTGCGTTGTTCGGCATTGTTTTCTTTCCCGTCTGTTGGAATGCACTGGGTAGCCAGCCGCACAAGTCACCCAGGGCCCCACGCTCCTTGGTTCAGGGAACAACAAATCATGGCGAAGTTTTGTGGGCTTTTACTACTTCCGGTAGCACATGCTCGAGCACGCCAACGGCCACAAAGGGACTCTGTGGATTCTGTGACTTTCACTGCTCAGCACATGCCAGATGTCGCGCAGCAGCACACCTGCATTCTTGATTCGTCAGGAAATTTGATGCTTTCAGGAAACAAAAAGAGACATGCTTGCCCTATGCTTCCTCGACTATTTTTTAAATAGGGGTTGTTCAACCCCTATTTTTTGCATTGACAGCCCTATTTTTTGACTTTGGCCTTTGGGGTCCATGTTGGGTTGTTACTTTGTTTTTATCGAAATTACGCCTGCTATTGCAACCTCTTAAGAAGCCTTGGGAGCCAGTAGATTACTATTTGTTGATAGGGTCCTCGGCGCCCTTTCGTGTTTGCGCAATGCACCTGCTGAAAGTCTTGCGTAGACGGAGCCTTCATTCTAGCAAATTCTAGAATTGTCCTCTGCAATTTGCGCAGGTGGCACGAACAACAAGCAATTGTGTGCTTGTTTTTTCCGCTCCAATTTTCACACAGCTCCAAAAACGACGTGAGCGTAGACAAACCGTAGACAAAGCGTAGAAAAACCTTAGAAACACATTTTTTTGGCGTAGAACCACTAATTGTTGGCATAGAACGGGCAAATTTTGCAGGGGACCCAGAAGATCAACATTCTCATCCTGGAATGGTTGCCGTGATGGGTAAAGATTTTTGCTGTCCCGTTTTGTTTGGTTTGGCTAAGAAGGTGGGCAAAAGAAGGACAGAAACGGTCAGAAGAGGATTCACCCTCACGCGCTACATGGCCATGTTAAGAAACCAAGCAAAATAGAAGCAACTAGCCTTGAAGATTGTAACACATATATAGCTGCATATGAAAATACATATTCGGCTTTGGGATCCTATGAGGCGGCCTTAGCGTCAAGTCTTTCCTAGTCCCTGTTCCAGTCCAAAACGGAGGCTGCCGCTCGTCATCAAAAAAATAGTCTTTATCAAAAAACCGGGGTTGTCACAACGACTATTTTTGAAATAGGCTTTGGAAGCATAGGTTTGGGACACACCTACTTGCGCCAGCAAGCTACAGCACGCGGGCCCAGGGGCATATAGAGAAACAACACTGCACCAACGCCCCAATGTTCATTGCATGTTTGCCACTCTTTGGTACACACCCGTCTTCAGATGCAGCTAGTAACTTAGTAGCTGGCACTGAACATGCCACAAGACAATAACACCGTGCACTGCTGTGTGTGCGCAGCTTTCTTGAGGACAGCAATTCAAACTGATCCGGTGAAGTTCGAAAACAAGAAGAGGACTGGCGCCACAGAACCAGTGTTGCCTGCTTGAATGGCTTAATCCGCTTGCAAACAGAAATCCCACAGCTTGAGTCCCACGTTTTGGCAGAGACATAAGAGTATGGGCTGACGGGGCAACACAGCACTTGCAAGCTGTTGTTCCATGCAGAATCGTTGTGAGAGTGTGTTGACCGTTGACCATACGAGACTGATTCAGGAATGCCGTGGTCCGACTTGGACAATACATGGCGGACATTGCTTTGCGCATCAAGAGCTCTCGTGATTGCTGAGAAGACCTAGGTTTGCTTGGTGTTTTGTGGAAACATCCCAGCCCTTTGCACATAGATGCACATAGCATATATCGGGGGCGGTCCTAACCCAATGATTTTCTTGCTTTCCAGGCTCAATTTGACACCAGAGACATGTGGGAAGGGGCAGGGCCTCGCCTCAGGTTTCTCACATTTGTTAAGCATATTTGACCTTCAAAGCACCACACGTCTTCATGCCTGTGGGTGTGCTCTGCCATGGGCACATTGGGCCTACGCTGCAACGCCAGTGGCTGCCGTCTTCAGTCAAGGGTTGCCTGCGGCCCCCAGCGCTGCCGACAAAGCCTTCCCTGCCGCGGGCCCTGCTGGCAGGAGGCGTAGGCGGCACTTTACGCCAAAGGTCCACCTTAATGAACTCAGCTGTTCAGCTCAACATGAAGCCTCAAACGGGTGCTTCTTCCCCTGGGCAGCAACAACAAAGGTAGATAGTTATTGAGGGGTATTTGTTTTAGGATTTATTGTATTTTTCGCTTGGCTTTTCGGCTTCTTGGCTTTTTGGCTTCTCGGCTTCTTCTTGTTGGTTTATGAGGCTTTTGGTGGCTTTGGCTTTTCGCATCCGCTGCATTCCCAGTTGGTTTTGGCTTTGGCTTCCCGCATCCTCAGCATCACCAGTTCCTCTCCGGCAAGTGTTCTTTATATTTATTTTTATGTAAATATATGTCTGCATGTATGTATGTCTGTAATTATGTATTCACTTCTTCGAACATCATAGGGAAGCCACCCGCCACCCGCTGCCTTTTATTTTCTATCTCACCCTTTCTTGAATCTTTGCACCCCTACTTGAATTCGTCACTTTTTCGAACATCATTGGTCGAGGCTGCCGTCCCCCCTCATTCTATTAGCACCCCTATTTGAATCAAGGGGGGGGGCTGCCCCCTCCCCCAACCCCCCCCCCCCCCTGTCCCCCCCGCTACTTTTTAGTTGTTGTTTTTTGGCAGAGATTTCATTACACCCCTATTGGAATCATCATCCAATTTCGCGACAAAATGCTGTAAAATACAAGATTTTGTGTAATCTATGTATGTTTGTATGTATGCACTTCTTCGAGCATCATAGGGGACACTACCCCCGCCAACCTCTTGAATCATTCACCCCTAATTGAATCATCACTTTTTCAAACATCATGGGAGGGGCTGCCGCCACCCCCAACGCCCCCGCTACTTTTCAGAGTTTGCCCCCCCCCCCACTGCTTTTTAGACTTTCTGCAGAGATTTAATTGCACGCCTATGTGAATCATCACTTCTTCGAACATTCTGGGGGCGGGGGCTGCCAGGGATTGAAATGCCCTCCTATTTGAATCATTATTTTTCGACCCCGTCAACCCGCCAAATTATGTTGCCCACGATTTGTTGGTGATGCTGGGGATGTTGGTTGGGGATGTTGACGGGCGAGTGTAAAACACGTCAATTTCGCGAGTAAAATGCAACGTTGGCCACCAGAAGTTCTTTCAATTTGGCTTTTGCTTTCTTTCCTAGTCACAAGAAGACAATGCTTCTCAAATCACAAGGTGAATGCGTAGGGATTCAGCGGGAAGGGGAGGCAGAGATGCTGCGCGAAGGACTCTTTGCCAGGTTCATGTGGCAATTTGCAGGGGCTTGATGAGCCGCAGAGCAAAGCCATGCATAGGCCAGCCCTTTGGCTATGTGAAACTCACAGTTCTGGGGCCTTGTTGCTCCCTGCACAGGCGCCGGCCTATGGCTGGCGCGAGTGGCGCGGCGTGCGGTTGGACTGGCGCCAGATGGCTCCAGAGAAGCCTTGGCCCCAGCGAAGCGGAACCTTCTCTTCGACGATGGCCCGCGGGCTGGTTTGGAGACTTTGCTGTGCCCTCGGGATTTGCTGTGCTTGGCCTTCTTGCTGCATGGCCTGGTGATCGCGCTGAACACGGTGGCCGGCAACTTCGGACCGGAGTATGATGCCTTGATCCGCACCTCACTTTGCTTGGGTGGCCTAAATGGGCTGGCAAGTGTGGCGGAGCTGGTGTTGGACCCCACCTTGCTCCTTGGTTTGGATTGGGGTTGACGGTTTGGCCTTTGAGCATCCTGCCTTTTGAAACTGACTGTTTCTTTAGGCAAAAGTTCAGCTTGTTGCAAGGTACGACGATCGGCCCGGCGTGGCCCACGAGCGATGGATCTTCGGCCTCAGCGCGGCCTGGGTGTTGGCTGTGGTGTGGCTTTGCGCACGCCTTGCAGGCGTGCTCCCTGATGCAGCCTTCGACACTCGCCAAACCTAGCGGCTCATGCGGGCGTGTGTGTTTTTGAGGATGCGCCTTCAGGTTGGTTGAAAGGAGAACCCAAAGCAACTCAAGCTTTTGGGGGTCTCCCTATTTTGACGCATGCCCATGTAATGCTACTCTCTGATCGCAGCCCCCCCCCCAAACAGGGACAATATGAGGAAAACTGGGGGGGTATCAGCCAGAGGCCACTCGGCTGCTTCCAAAGTTGAGTGGTTGCTCGAAGCAAAGTACCATGACACAACGATGAATTTTAAACTGCGAAGAAGCGGGCGTTTCTCGGTTGTCGTCCTCTAATGTAAACTTTCAGTGGTTTTGCGTGCAAGAGTGCGCTGTGGTGCCCCCATTTGCCTAGACTGTTGTGGTTGAAAGTCTGGATTTCCGTTTGGATGGAGCTTGGAACCAGGACGTCCCTGCGTCTGCCGCCTGCTGCGCAGTCTTCCTAGCTATGAACCTGGGACCTTGGGCTACAGCCTGGGCATTCTGGCAGGCGGCATGGCGATTTAAGGGAAATCACAGCAGTGCTTGCAATGTTTTTCTTTTTCTTTTTTTAAATCCCAACGACCAGAGCCAACTGACATGAACCATGGCAGCATTCGCATGCACAACACAACTCCATGTAATGTGGGATGTGGGATTGCACCGAGCGGAGATGAGGAGCTCACTGACTTGGAGCGGCTCCGCATGCGTGGCTTGGGGGCCTGCGGCTTCGTGGGGGTGATCTACTGCTTGGATGCCATCGCTTTGGCCTACAAGGGCCCTGCCTGGTGGTCCAAGGCCCATGGCTGAGGTATCGCATGGGGTGCTTTTTGGGCTTTAGGGAAGTAGGGGAAGCCGAATGAATGGCAAGCACGTGGCTAGGTTTTCCTGGATGTGACACGCAGTGCATCCCCTTGGACTGGCTTTGAGAACCGCAGGCACCAATGACATCCTTTGGTATAGCTTGATGATTCGCTTGCGGCCCATGGCTCACTTGGCTTCAATAGGCTTCAGATTCTAGTTTGGCCGATCGCCTTTGGCCATTCCTTGTGGGAAGGAAGCCAACGGGGCGCCAACCCGAATTCTGAATGGTCCCGCAGTATCGAGACGGTTGCAGGGGCTGGCATTGCAAGGGGGGAAGAGATCGGAAAGCATGTTTCTTTGGAACGAATCACCTTCAAATGGCCAGGGGCCCAGCCGTCAGAGATGTTTCCTTTTTCGTTCTGTCCTTAGCAAGCTGTGGTAAGGCCCCAAAACGTGTCCCTATCATTCTTCCGGGAGCTGCTCCATCCATAGTCAATCAATTGGTGGCTTATTTGGGGTTGTTCTGAAGGACGCTGCGTTTTCCTCTGTTTTCTTGACTTCCAAACGGCCACGCACCACATTTGGTGTGCTGATGAAGCTGTACTATGGTGGCGCCAACCCATCATTTGCGAACCACCTCCCGCCGCTTCCAAGACCACAGCACGCAACTCCAATCCGCGCCTGCGTCCAGGTGCAGACGCTTTGGCCGATGCAGGCTACCTGCGAGGAGAGCACTTTGATTTTCGGGGCCCTGGCATTGGAGGCTTGCGGCCTGTGTCGCAACAGGCCGTTTGTGGTTTCACCAGTTTGGCTTCCATGCAAGGGGTCGGGTCGAGTAATGATACTTGAGCATTGATAATTTGTTGGGTTTCATGACATTCGTTTCCTTCAGGAGGTGTCTAATATGCATGTTCGGCCCTTGTTCGAAACGCGCGGAGGCCTGCATGTTGCTGCACCGCCTGGGCCGGCGTGGCATCCTCAGGCGCGGGGAGGCCAAACCACTCTTGGTTGGGTGGCTGGCCGGTCGGTTGGGCCGTGGGTAGTTTGGAGTCCGTGGGTGTCTGTTGTTTTTATCTTTTCGGGTCCGGGGGAGGATAGGTTGGCAAAGGATGAGAGAAGGGTAGCTGTCCGGTTGTTTGCTAGGGGTGCCAAGTAAAGGACTGCTTCCAGTGGGGGGCATGGGGATGGGGGGGGGGAACCGTGCAGGTTTCAGCAAGCAGCAGTGCCGCTGGGTTTGGCATCCTCCCTTGGCCTTGCCATTGTTCCAACGGTGGCGCAAGTGGCCTGGAACTATGATCAGATCTCGCTCTTCGATGCTTACTTTGTCTAGTGGCCCAAAGATGGCCTGAGGCTTGGGACTGGCAGCTGGCTCCTTTGAGGTCGCGAAAACCAAAGCTGTGCGATTTGGTCGGGTGAAGGATGACAAGTGCCTCGGTGCTAGGACCCAACACCCCACTGGGCAAGGGCCCAAAGCCAAGCCCAAGAAGGAGGGACCACCGCGAGCATTCCAAGATGCTGAGGCGTGTGCGGAGATGCCATGCAGGGCTTGGGGGGGGGGGCTGGGATGGCGGGCCTAGTCCTTTCTTCTGAGTACTGAGAAGGTCCTCAGCAAACAACACCCTTCCCCGAAACCGCTGATTTCCTTACATCTCCTTTGTAAAGAAGCGCCTAGGCACAGGGGTAGCACGTGGCCACCGCAGAGAAATGAAAAGGGGTGCAACGGTTTCCAGTCCGAATAACACAACTACACCAGCATAGACCCCATGCCAACGATGGCACACAAACACCTCTAACAACACCCCGAAGGGCACCCCAAACGGCACCCCACAGCAACCGGCAATGCGCCCGCACCGTTACCAGCACAAAAACAGCACCCGCAAACAGCATCCTGCACAAGAATCCCAAACTGCATGCCCCCTAGCACCCTGCCATCAATCTCGAAGAGTGTGCCCGCAGTGTCACCCCCGAACAGCAGTCTCAGAGCACCTAGCCGTCAATCTCGCAAACATGCCCACCAGCAGTTCACCCAGCACCCCCAAACAGCATCCCAAAACAGCACCTGCGCCAGCACCCCTAGCACCCGACCGTCAATCTTGCAAAAGTGCCATCAATCTCGCAAAAATGTGCCCGCTGCAGCAGGCCTTGAAGCAAAAGGCTCGATCTGCGCGTGTGAAGCCGCAGCTTGGCTTGACGTGGGCAGAGCGGTGCAGGGGCTGAGGGAACGAGTTGACTGGGAGCAAAGGGCCAAGATTTTGCTTTTTTGGGAATGTTCGTTGGGGGCCATTGAATGTTCACTGGCCTAGGAATGCCCTGAGCGGTTCTGCGGCTCTCTCGTAACCAGGCAAGTTTCAGAAGTGGTGCGGGAGGCCTCCCACGAAGGAGTCTGTTTCGGTTTCTGATTGAAGATTTCTGATTGAAAGAGATCCAGGCGCTGATCTCATGTTCTGGGAACTACCTGTACTACCTTCAGCACTCAAGAACCTTTGCATCAGGGTGAGGGCACGCATGTTTATATTTGTACTGCTTCGGTAGCTGGCTCGGCAGAAGGGTCATTTTGTGTTTTGGTGTGTTTTGCCGACATGTTGCGTGTCCAGAGTGCTTGTCTGACCATGTCTGACCTTCTCGCTGAGCAGATTTCTCACCGAAGTTGAAGTCGTGTTCGATCCTGCAGCAGCAGAAGGCAGCCTTTCAGACCCAGCTTTGTGGGGAAAGTGATGTTGTGCACCACGCTCAAAGCAAACCCTCAATATCCTCGGAATCAGCTTCGTGTTTGTGTGTGTGCCTGTTGCTCGGCTGAAGGCAGTACAACGTGTTCGAGCGCTACCATAAGACGGCACCTTGCCGAAATCTATGTCATCCCTTTGCATGCTGGAACGGCTGGCAGGAAGTTTCATGGTTGGCTCGTGCTGGGTTATGGCTTCGAATGGCAAGCAACAAGTTTGAGTTTGCTTTTTGTAGGTAGCTGAAACCGCATCCCATGTTTGGCAAGGCATTGCCCTTCGGGGCTTAACGGGCGGTAAATGGCCGAGGTCAACCTGGGCAGGATTGGGAAGATTCTTTCAGGTGACAGGGTAGCCCCGCGCTTGCGCATTCAAGCATAGAAGCAAGCAAATTGGATGGTGGAAATCACGTTGCCCGATCTTGCCAAGGAGCATGGTCCAATCCGCATGGTGGTGTTTGTTTGCTGAGAAATTTGCAAGGGTTCCATGATATTTTCTCCTGTCGATCCTGCGGAAACTGTCTTAGATCACATGCAGGCATGTCACACGGCTGCTTAGGCACGTGCAGTCGGCATAGACACTTGGGGCTGTAAGCTTCCAGAAGGCAAAGTTTTGCATTTTGCATGTGCAACCCAGAGACAAAATGAATGAAGGCAACACTGATGCAATGTCCACTGCAGTATGGCACCATTCCACTGTTGCAGCTTTGCGGCGTAGTTCGCGAAGCCTGGTGTGCAGCGACGGCTAGTTTCGCACGGAACAGCTGCCCTGGCTGAGTTCTTGACCCGTGCTTTGTGCTCTGAAGTAGCCTTTGAAATCAAGTGGCCATGCTTGCCAGCATGCTGCTGCCATCGCTTTGGTGGCCTGCATGATGCTCAACAACAGCATGGGGGCAACGGCAGATCAGTACATTTCACGGCATGGCCCGGGTTTGCTAGTATGTTGTGCCTGTAAATACGTACAATATATTAATTTTGCATGTGTGCATGACATATTCACAAATATGTGTACACATCTACATATATTGTGTCCTGACCTTAGCAACTTCCGCAAGAAACAAGAAGTACAGGTCCTGCAACCGCTAATGCTGAATAGAGGTGGTGTTCAGCGCAAAGTGAGCAGTGTTAATACGTTTCACTCCCATACCTTCCCGGCTGCTCACGCGTTTGCATCCGAGGGTTGCGCACAGTACATCGCCAGACACTGGATGCATCTCGGATGATTGATTGGGGAGAGATGGGAGGCTATGATTGGCAGATGATGAGATGCCTGACCAAGGTCACTAGGGTTTTATTTGCTCTGTTTTGGTTTACGGTTGTCATGTGCAGAATTGTGCATGAGTGTGTGTGTGTGTGTGCAAGTTGGCGGGCAATGCTGTGTGAATGGTGCATGGTGCCTTGTTGAAGCAAAGGGTGTTCTTGCAGGTTTTTAAGGGTTCAGGCCGGTCGTGTCGAAAAGTGCCCCAAGATAACACCGAGTCACTTGGGAGCGTTGCTGTGAGCCATGGTTTCAGCTCAGGTTTGAGTATGCCACCCTCGTATTTTGGCAGCAGCCAGCGTTTGCCTGCGCTCGGATCGTGATGGTTGAGCTGGTGCGAGGCCGCTTACATTGTTGAAGATTGTGAGGTTGCACTTTCTCCTTCATCGCTTTTTGCCCAAGCTACCTGACCTTTCTTGGGCAGCGCATGCCATCGCCCCAAAAAGCTGTTTCGAGAGCGCCAGTACCAAAAATCACTTACAGTCACCTTGACCAGTATCCCGAAGCACCATGAATCACCTTAAGAAGCCGCTTGCCAATTGGAAATCTCATATTTCCACACACCCTGAGTGAGATGTCTCATCCAACAGACGGCTGGTGTCAGCTTCTTGTTTGTTGCTAGAAAAGGAGTTCGGCCAAAAACAGGTTAGGAGCTCTTCAAAAAGGAGCTCTCTTACAGGACAAGCGGATGTTGCTTGGAATTAGGGTTTATGTCAGTGCCCAGTATATAACTCAGTCTTGCGATGGTCATCGCGACCCTCAGAGTCCCTGACGTTGACTCCTAGATGCGTTTCGGTTCAGTAGAGCCTGACCGTCCGCAACATCGTGGAACGGCTTGTACATGGAGCTCATTAGACTTGCTCTGCAGTCAAGAGCGAAAGCCACTCTGTGTCAGACCCATAATTAGTGTCATTCTTCGCTGGCAACGTAAATTGCGCGGCCAAGATCGCAAGTCCGAAGGGTCACAAGGCAGTGTGTGTCGCACGCGTGAATTTTGCAAGCGTAAAGACATGGACCTTTGAGCTGCCAGGGGTCAAGCGATCGACACAAGGTGGTGGTTTGCGCCAACACGGTGTGGATAGCGATAGACACCGACCTCAACACGCACACCGTCCTCACCAACGCTGGATGGGAATTTCAGGCTGAGGGTGGGCAAGGGCGAGGGGCAACCTCGGCCGAGGCTTGCGGCACGCTTTTTTAGCATATTGGGTTTGCTTGGCAATATGGGCCTGGATGCGGCAGTGCCAGCACGCTTCTTCGCAATTCTTGCTTTGGACGGCAGGTGGCGGAGAACTTTTTTTGCGGCTACTTTTTCGGCGGCTCGGCCAAAGCACTAGTCATGTCTCAGGGACTGCTTTGGTTTGGAAGCTGACGTCATACCCCCTTTTATTGGGGCCGTTTCCGTGCCGCAAATCATTTTTGACGCACCATTTGAAGCCCCTCCCTTCCCCCGTCCATGCCACACGCCTTCGTTGAGGGGGCTGGGTGGGACCCGTGACTGGCCATCGCTCAGGGGAGCTGCTCGTCCGCTTCTGCGCCTTCCAGTACAAAAGGCACCATGGCTAGCCCCACGAGCTGGCGAAGACAAGTGAAAGCCCGCACTTCACGAGTGCCCACTTTTTGTCATGGAGGGAGCCCCAACTAAGCCTCTATTAAGCCCTTCATAAGGCCTTATTTAGGGCTCCCTCCCCCTCCCTTCCCTCCCCCCCAGCCCCCATGATTGGAGAGTCGACCTGAGAGCCCTTGACGCTGGCTAGGCATTGCTTGCAAGACTTCTGGTTTTCCTTTGACCTCGTGCTGGCCGGGCCCTCGAGCCTCGGGCCCTCGGGCCCTCGGGCCTCGGCCGGGGCAATTTGTCCAGCAACTTGTGCAATGTCGACACCGGATTTGCAAACCTCGAATTCATTTGGGGGGTGTTCCTCCCAAGTGAAGGATCCTCTCTAAACTGATCGGTTGCATCCCTATTGGTCCGAATCAGCTGGGTTCTCATAGGTCTCATTGATGGTCCTGGAGACTTGGGCCCTTCCTGTGGTCTTCAACGTGATGAACCTGGGGGAGGAGGACAGGGAGGTTTTAAAGGGTGTGACGTGTAGGCCCTGGTTGGCCCATGCGAGCCAAAACAAAGCACTTTCGATTTTTTTGCGGGAAAGTAGCAACCAGAAATGGAGGTGGCTACCCCGCGTTATTCCTTTTGGCTCGGTGAGTTCTGTTCATATTGGCTTTGCTATGACTCATGTGCGTCAAGTCAAGAAGGAGCCAGGCTCAAGCCAGTCACGCCGAGCCCGCAATGCAGGCGCCTTCAGCGCTGCAATGGCTGGAGTTTTGCTGTTGAGAACATGTCCGCGTAAGCTGT